GCAGTAATAAACATCAACCACATTTTGCATCATCTTCAATCATTGCTACTGCTTCAAAGTCAAATCTTCAAGCTATCATCACTAAACTTCGTTCGTGATCTCTCAATCTTCAATATCTCATCAATTTTCCTACTTCAAGCAACAACATTGACATCGTGAACCGCACCTTCAACGCTATTGCAACCTGCTTGTAGCGATTCATCGATCTTTCTCTCTAAACCTGCAACATCAACGCGCTTTCAAGCTTTAATCATATCCATAATCTGCAACAAAATTTCTTCAATCTGCATCACAGAAAACAATGTCAACGACTTATGAATTGCTACAACAGTGTCGCAGAAGCGGAACAGAATCGCCAATGTTTCGAATCACAAATGATGATGACGAACCGTGGCAGAGACGTGAAGGGAAGAATCATGAAGTTTGAGCTCTTGAAGTGGAAGATGAAGTGAAATAAGGGAGTCATCGAGACCTACGTTGAACGAATCAGAAGACAAAGTTACAATGGCGAGTGTGCAATCGAAGGAGACGTCGGTGCTACGCGCGGCGCCTTTGTTAAGAAGAGGATAAGCTGAATCGGTGTACATAGGACATAGAGAGCAAGACAGAGGCCGACGATGAGAAGAGATGGTGAATCAGAGATTTTCAGTGTCTATTTGGTCTGAGATCGGAGGAGACTTGAGCCATGGGATTTAAAGAATCTCTATGTTAACCTAAAATCCCAAAACACGCTCACCATTCCCTTTGTTAATTTCTCCATGTTTATTTGTTAATTCTTGCTAATGTTTCTTATCAGATAAATAATGCTAAATATAATATTGATAAGATTTGGATTGAGACTATAGGGCTCATGGACCGGACCTCAACTATTCCCAGGCCTATTATCAAATATTTTTGGCATCTTGTATGTTTGTGAACAAAAAAAGGTATTGGACCATTTCTGGATGGGCTCAATGCATCATTATGATTTCTTATAGTATACCCCTGCTTACAGATTGCACCCCCTATTTTTTATTATTTGCATTTTTGTTTGGATAATTTTCTTAATTGTTTAGACTTGTTTGAATTTTCTTTACATGATAAAAATAATAAAATCAAATATAAAAATTGGGTAGATTTTTATTTGATTTTAGGAATTAAATCTCGATTATTCGATTACTTGAGATTGGTAATTCACTTATGCTTGTTGAGACCTGAGTCTTATGCAGGTTTATCGTGTAATATGCGGATGTGCTTGAGTTTCCGATTGTGATTTATTTTCACATCGATGATGATTCGACACTTATTTTGATTATTCGATTTCAAATTATTCTCTATTGCTTGGTGAAGCTCACTCGAAGTTTTTTGGGTTTCTCTGCTTTACTAGCTGTGCTACGAACTCTTGTTTGTTTGGTATCATTTTGATTTTGGTTTATCATTCCGTATTTTACCGCTTTTCTAGATATCATGAGAAGTAGGAATTTTACTGCTTTCTAGATATCATGAGAAGTAGGAAATAAAGAGTGTGCGCTCGAAGTCACTGTTTAAAGTCTTGTAGCATGAAACGCTTTATGTATGCTATCTGTGTTTGTTTAATATCCTACCTTTAAAGTAGGTATTTTGCATGTGTGTTTATTTTTGTGCCCGCCTTATATCATAGATGATAAGTCCTTAAAAGGAGGCAATTAGGGAGGGTCCGTAATCGACCCCCACATATTCTAGTCCATTTCATCCATCTCCCGCTTGTTTGCTTCGGGTGATATGCTCCGCTTAGCTAAAGCATTTCTCCTGTTTCCCCGTCCCTTTGAGTAAGTATGTTTGTGTGCTTTTTCCAAAGCACTTGTTTTCTTATTTGTTTGCTATACCATGTTCCCTTAGGACAGGAATTTGTACGCTTCCCTTAGGATCGCTCGATTAGAGTAGCTTTCGAGCTAGACATTAGGATATGTATCCATGCATGCTAACATAGGGTAGAGATTGCCCTTTTAAAACTCAACCTTAGGATCAATCATTGAATGATAACATTAGGGATTAGATTCTAGCTAGTTTCCCTCATATGTTTTTCTTTCTTTTGCATCTTTGTATTAAGACTAAAACTCTTTTTATTGAAAAAGCATAAAACATCTAACAACTTCCAAACCCTTCTTTAAGGTAAAAGCTATCAACCAATACAAACTCTTTTGCGCCTTCGGGCTTTTCTTTCAAACTTTTTCAAAAGAACATGTTAATTCACTTATGTGCTGACGCGTGAGTCTCCAAAGGTCGAGCTACGACAAAAGGCAAAATTAATATTGTTCATTAAAAAATACAAACCAACAAAAACTTTTAAGCCTAACTACGGCTACTCTGATTCCTCAAAAGGGATACATAGGCATTGGGGTATGACCCAAACAAGCACAAAATTTATTTTCCCTACATTATTTTCTCTTTTATTTTGCATGCATTCCCTATTTGTATTTTCTTTTAGCTATTAAGCTTAGATTTGAAACACACCTTTTGATTAGAACAACAAGAGTGGATACTGTAGAGTACTACGGGCGTGTGGGGTGCTAATACATTCCCCTCACGTAACATACTCCCTTACTCGTATCTCTTGGTCGTTTGACCTTGATTTCACCCTTCTTAGGTTTAGTCGATGTTTACCTTTCCCTTCTAGTGAGATAAAAAACGTTCGATGGAGACTTCAATGATTTCATCTTGATAATTTGTTCAGCCGGTTATTTCAATAGTTTGATTGAAACACTTCTAAACATTCCAAGCAAGACTAAAGATAGTAAGACTTTCCGTCTCGATATGGAGGCGATGGGTTTCTGAAAACTGTTGGCTCCAATAGAGAGAAGAAAAAGAACTTATCTGCCTCCAACGTGTCACATTCTATCTAAAAAGGAAGAAATTTTTTTGTGAGTGTTTGCATGGTATCAAAGTTCCCCAAGGTTACTCATCAAACATCAAGAAACTTCTATCAATGAAATATTTCAAGTTAATTGGTTTAAAATCTCATGATTATCATGTATTAATGCAATAACTTCTACCAATGTCTATCTGTAGGATCCTACCAAAAATGTGAGAGTGACTATAACCAGATTGTACTTATTCTTCAATGCCATATGTAATAAAGTTCTTGATTTCAAGAAATTAGATGAATTAGAAGACGAGGCTGCCATAATATTGTGTCAATTGGAGATGTATTTTCCACCATAATTTTTTGACATAATGGCTCACTTACTTGTTCATCTAGTCAGAGAAATTAGATTTTATGGTCCAATTTATTTAAAGTGGATGTATCCAATAGAGCAATATATGAAGATGTTTAAAGGATATACGAGGAATCATCACTGATCAGAAGCTTTGATTGTTGAAAGGTACATCATAGAAGAAGTTGTTGAGTTTTGTACAAACTATTTGTCAGAAGCAGATTCTATAGGAATTCCAAAGTGTCGTCATGTTGACATAGACGAAAGAGGTATTCAAGGTATAACTGTTGTGTCAATGGCTTGAGATGTAGTTATGCAAGCACATTTCTATATATTTAATAATATTGATGAAGTTCAACCTTACATAGATACTCACAAAAAACTTATGAAGAAAAAATATCCCCGAATAAGTGACAAGTTGTTATTGATAGAGCATAACAAGAGACTCGTAGATTAGTTTAATGAAAGGGTATCTAAAGATCATAGTGCATCCAAGATACTTAAATGGCTGTCGTAAGAGCCAAAATTTACTGTCATAACTTGGAAGCATACGACATTGGTCATTATACCTTTTATACAAAATCAAAAGATGATCGTAGTACAATGCAAAATAGTGGGGTTATGGTTGAAGTCGAATCAATGTATTTCTCTAGTTCGAAAGATAATAATCCTGTATTGGCAACAACCGCGTTCTATAGTGTCATTGAGGAGATTTGGGAGATTGACTATGTTATTTTCTAAGTGCCTTTATTTAAATGTAAGTAGGTTTCTAATAATACTAATGGTATACATATTGATGACTTAGGATTCACCCAGGTTGACCTTGAGAAGACATGTTTTATGAACCAACCATTCATCATGGCTTCTCAAGCAAAACAAATTTTCTATCTGACTGACTCTTCAGACATATCGAGGAAATGGTCAATCGTCCTCCAAGGAAAACACATTCCTCTTAGTGATGAAAGTCTTGATATTCTATCTATTCATTCTTACACAACATAAGTTCCTACCTCATATGATAAAGTTGATGGAGATGATGTGCATGTTATTCGAATCAATCATGAAGAAGGTATATGAGAAAATTAACAAGTAATTATTTTATTCTTTACTCATAACATATTAATTATATGTTATAATTTCTACGTATTTTTACTAACAAATATGATTATTTGAAATCATAGGTATTTAAAGTTAAGACACAGAGACAAGACACCAAGAGACAAAACAATAAGAGACAAAAAACCAAAATACCAAGATACAATTATGTGATGTTATGTAATGTGTAAACTGTAGGTTATTTTGTGATATTTTGATTTTGAAGTAATATACAATTTTTGGTTCTTAATCTAATTTTTTATCATTATTATGATAACTTTATCACAAATGCGAGTTGTTTGTTCTGCTGTAATTGTTTATTCTGCTGTGATATGATCCATAAAAATACAAGTTAAAAAATGGGAAAAATTATAATAGCAGCATTGTATTTGTTAATTAAGCAGAATTTTTGACAACGGTCATTTAACACAACTGTTGTAATATCTCACACGATGTCCAAAATAATATAAATACCAAAACAACGTTGTTGAGAATCGAACCTAGGAACTTTATGTATATCACAACGGTTAATTATGGCAAGCATTGTTATAGGGCGTACACTTTCTAGTTTTCTACAACAGTCACTGGATTGTGATTGTAAGTAACGCATACACAACCACACACTACACAATAACGCCTAGTCCTGCGTGATTATACATTTTCCCAACCGCTGTTGAACACCTTTTCCGTAGTAGTGAATGATTTTATATTTGCTTGAGATTAAGCACAAAAATGGATGAAAAAGTTAGTTTTGAGTCAAGAGCATTTCATGATTTAAGTCAAATTAGCAAGTAGAGTGAAACAAGACCTCATAAAGAAAGTTACTCATTTTCATGTGATTTTACTGTGATTCGAGTCACACAGGTTCATGATTTGAATCACACGTTAAGTCTGATCTGAATTAGACAAGTCAACGGCTAATAGGAATTTTGTGATTCGAGTCATTCATAAATTGTGATTCAAATCATAGAGCCGCATGATTCGAATCAGGTGTAATTTGTGTTGGAGCACAAGAAAGATAAAAGACAAAAAGGAATATTTACTGATATCTTCAAAAATAAGGATTTACAATGAATTACAATAACCTACTCCACTAGGCTATTTATACACACAAATTAAATCTAAAATATATCTTCTACAAAGATATAAGAAGATCTAAGATTTATATCTTCTAACAAAGATATAAACAATCTAAAAGATATTCCTAAATATAAACTAATATCTAATTAAATTTAAATTAATTCTAACAATTTGTGATTCAAATCAAAGACACCAAAATTTCCCGTTTTGCCTCTATTTTGCTTAATTCTAGTCATAGATTGTGAGTGATTCGAATTAGACACAAGAAATCTCAAAATTTCAAAATATTTGAGATTTCACTTCTCACGCGACTTGAATTGATATCACCTATGATTCTATTTTCATTAACTCAGACAATTGATTTAAATCAACATGATCAAGTTTAAAAAATAATAATTAATTTATGCATGCTAAAACAAATAAACAAATCGATTCAAACTTCACAGATGTACAATCATGAAGGAGACTCAATAAATAATAATAGATGAAAAATGAAAAGATAAGCAATAAAATAACCGCATGGAAGATACTCCTCCATAATATTTATTTTTCCTTTTAATTTTCTATGATAAAAAACAAATTGATACATTATTTTAAAATATAAAACTACACAAATTTAAAATAAAATATACACAAAGTTTGAATTTATAAATATTTAATAAAAAAAATACAAATATTAAATTACAGGAAAACCCTATATAGGGGTTAAACCTAAGGCTTTTTCTTAAGAAAAAAATGCTCGAGAAAAAATATTACAAATATTAATAATATACATTAATCAAAATAAAATAATATATATTTACCACAATTTAATAGTTACGAAATAAATAAATTTTTTATTTTATCACGATTTAACTATAATAATATTTTATAATATTTTATTTAATTAAGATTTAATTATGATAAATTATGGTCTCTTTTAAATAGTTCATGTTTAAAGACGAAATTGCTTTAATAAATAAATAAATATATATATATATATATATATATATATATATATATATATATATATATATATATATATATATATATATATATATATATATATATATATATATATATATATATATATATATATATATATATATATATATATATATATATATATATATATATATATATATATATATATATATATATATATATATATATATATATATATATATATATATATTAAAAATACTATTTTGTTTTTGTAAAAAAACATTAAAAAAATTGTAAGGAATAAAAGTCTTAATAGTAAACTTTTTTACAAAAATATTGAGAAAAATATCTTTTTTATTATTAAAGTGATATTGTTGTTCGTTTTACAAAGATTAACAATTTTTTTAAACTATGTATCTTAAAGTTATAATATTAAGAGTGTTATTGTTTAAGGGCTTCAAGCAAAAATAAGCAAAGTTTTGGTGATCCTACAATTTTTAACTTCATTTTATTCAAGCAGAGTTTTTCAATATAATATTAATTTTTTAAAAGTACTTTCTTTTTACTACTATTTAAATCACTTTTAATTTAATATTTTTTACTTTATATTTATGATAAAAACGAATATTTTAATATATAATAAAAATATTCTATTAAGAATATTATTTTCTATAAAAATTTAAAATGTATTATTCTAAAACAAAATAACTACACTAATTTAGAGTAAATATATAAAATATTTGAATTTATAAATATTTAATAGAAAAATAAATAAATTATAAATATAGAATCACGTCATGTAGAGGTTGAATCTACTACTTTCTACGTACTTTATCAATTAAAAAAATACAATAATAAAAATAAAATAATATATACATATTGTGTTATGCAAGAGAATAGCAAAAAATTGTGAATAATAAAATTATAAATAGTAACATTTTAAAACAAAAATTGGGAAAAAATATATATATTTCACTAATTAAATTCACATTGTTGTTTATTTTACAAAAAAAAATAAAATTTAAATTAGGTATTTTAAATCTAAAATACTAAGTTCTTTGTCAGTGAATTAAAAAAAATATTGAAAAAAAAATAGCGATTAAACAAATATTATTCAATATAAAAATTAATTACTATACATTGTCGGTGTAAAACTTTTTAATATGATCACTACATCACAATCACTCATTAATGTTATTCAATAAATAATTATAATAAAATATAATTTGTAATCTAATGGTTATGATTCACTAACGATGTAAAACTTCTTTACACTTATTTCAATTAAATTCTTCAATATATTATTGACCAAATAAAAAATAAAAATTCAATATATCTTTAATAAATAAATAAAATAAAAATTCAATGTATTCTTGACTAAAAATAGATAATTGAATATATTAATCACTAATTATAATTATAGTCAAATATTAATAAATTATTCATTTATAAAAAGTTTTTAAATAATGAAAGATTTTCTCATTTTCAAGACAATATATATTTTTTTTAATAATATCTTCTAACCACTACTATTTAAAACACTTTTAGTTTTAGTTTTTTACTTTATATTTATGATAAAAATAATATTTTAATATATAATTGAAACACTTTATAGAAAATCTGATTTTCTTCTTTATTTATATATTTTTATTATTTATCGGCCAACAAAACAAAATACATTTGATTTGATACAATTTCTCCCTCTCCCCTCTCATTTTTTTGCAATTTTTTTCCTTTATTGCAAAAAGAAAATACAATACTTCTAGACAATTTTTTTTGTACCTTTTAAATACTACTATTAAAAAACATTTTATTTATGATAAAGATGAATATTTGAATTCATAATTAAAATACTATATTAAAAATACTATTTACTTATTTTAGTTATATATTTTTATTATTTATAATTTGGTCAAATAAACGTTGTATTTGATAAAGTATTATATTATTTTTAGATAAAACTTTTTTTGATAGCACTAAAATTTAGGTTTTTTTTCCAGCCACGTCAGCAGCCTGAGGTAAGAGAGTGAAATAAAAGGGGCCGTTTTTTGTATAAGCAAAAGAGCGCAGTTCACGAGTATGGATTGAAAACAACACTACCTTCACTGCGCACCCTAAGCCGCTTCCACCTCCCCTAACTACTTCATGTCTTCTTTCTTCCCCAAACCACTTTCACTTTCTCTCTAACTATTCAACCCTTTCAATTAGGGTTTTTCTCTCAAACTCTTCAACCACTTTCGGTGAGTTTCCAATGCCTCACTCAATTCCGCTCCACCGTTCTGCTTAAACCTTTTGATTATTCATCCAATTTTTCGTTCTAACTCTTTGATTTTGCAGATACTGTTGTTCATCTTTTAACTGGAGCGGTTTTCGTGATTCTCCCATGGCACCTACTCGAAAAAAGGGCGCCAAGAAATCACTGGCCACAGCTGCTGCTTCCCGGGAGTGGAAACACGGCGATCTCGTGCTTGCTAAAGTGAAAGGATTCCCTGCTTGGCCTGCTACGGTATGTGCTGGTTCTTAATCTTTGCTAAAACTCCGAGTTTCTTCCATAATTTTGCTGTTTCGAAATTAGAATAGCACTGCCTTGTTTTTGCTTTTCGATTTTCTTTTCTGCCGTTTTTTGTAATGGTGCATAGGGTTTATCATTAATTGAGTTGATTTTAGGTTTTGTTTTGATCTGTTTAAACGAAATTTATTGTGCATGACTTTGATTATCTCATTCTGTGGTTTCTGTTATGTTGAACTTGTACTAGTAGTAGTATCATAATTTAGTGTTGCATGGATTTGGCTTAATTTGATGTTGATCTTACGGAGATCTTTAATGTAAAGGTTGAGCATCATGCTTGACTTGAATAGGGCCAAAAGGTTTCCCGAATTTTGATTTGAAATGGGGGAGACCAGAGGGTTCAACAAGCTTGAGGCAGTTGCTTGCAATTTTTTTTCTAGGGTTATATAGGAGTATATATGATGTATTATCTGTGTAGGCATTTTATTTCACCTGAATTTTGATTTGAAATGATGGAGACCAGAGGGTTCTACAAGCATGGGACAGTTGGTTGCAAATTTTTTTCTAGGGTTATATAGGAGTATATCTGATATGTTTGCTGTGGAGGCATTTTATTTCACTGAATTTTGATTTGAAATGATGGAGACCAGAGGGTTCTACAAGCATGGGACAGTTGGTTGCAAATTTTTTTCTAGGGTTATATAGGAGTATATCTGATATGTTTGCTGTGGAGGCATTTTATTTCACTGAATTTTGATTTGAAATGATGGAGACCAGAGGGTTCTACAAGCATGGGACAGTTGGTTGCAAAATTTTTTCTAGTGTTATATAGGAGTATATCTGATATGTTCGCTGTGGAGGCATTTTATTTCACTGAATTTTGATTTGAAATGATGGAGACCAGAGGGTTCTATAAGCATGGGGCAGTTGCTTGCAATTTTTTTTCTATGGTTGTATGTTTGCTGTGGAGGCGTTTTATTTCATTTCTTTGTTTTTACAAAGATTTAATTTGGCTGATTAAATTATTTTGCTGATGGCAGGTAAGTGAGCCGAACAAATGGGGATACTCAGTTGATCGGAAGAAAATATTTGTTCTCTTCTTTGGAACCGATCAAATGTATGTATTCAAATCCCTATCTCTTTTGGTTGAATTTGCCACTGCTATGCCTTCACATTAATATGTTTGTGTGTGTGTGTGTGTATATATATATATATATATATATATATACTGTTAGATGTCAAAACACTAAGGTCACACAAAATTACACAAGTTGTATGATATTGTTAATCTTATGTTTTTGGCCTAGGACTATCACGGTAAGTAGTAAGGGTTGATTGGGGTATGGACGTGTGGTATTCTAATTGACATGTCAGAGTTTGTTGTGTGTGTGGAAATTCATTAGAGGTCGGGGTGTTGATAAATAATTTTTCATCTAAATAGTTATTCTTTCTAGGATTCCTTAATCGAGCAGGTATAAACATATTGTTGAAGAGGGAAATGCGAGGCATTATAATTTTTGTTGAGAAAATCAAGTATGTGAATTAACTGACTATATAGGTTGTTATATATCCATACTGCATTTATTTTATCACAAACTTAACTATTTATTTTCCATTTCAATAGTTTTAACTCTTCCACTGCTCCCCATAGATTGAGCACCTCACTTTAGAGGAATCAAATAAATAATATTCACATATTAAGGTGGCTTTCTTGTTGCATAGATATTTGAAAATTTGAGAGTATGTTGTCTATTTAAATACTTTTTTCTTTACCAAAACAAAGTGATGGTTTCAATAATTGCAGTCTTTCTGTGATGTTAATGTTTGTTTATTCATGTGATTTTTTATTTAGCTTGCCCATTATGGCACTGATGTATTATAACAAAAAAGTACTATATGGTTAACGTCGGAAGCCTGGTTGCTAACATACACAAAGTCAACTAAAATAACTGCAAATTTATTTAAGAATTTAATAACTATGCACGGACAAGGTAATAATATTTAACTTATACACCCAATTATATATCACCTTGAAGATATTTGTGCAAATACTTCAGGAAGTATTATTACGATGTAGCATCATGTTGAAATATGATTGGACGTCTTTGGTGCATAGTTATTAAACTCTTATGATAAATAGGTTTCAATTTTCATCAAATAGAAATGAGATGACCTTAACCATGCTTTAACTACTTAACCAAATCCATCCTTTAAGACATTATGGGTAGAATGGATGTGACAACTAAGATAGCCACACAATTTTTTGTAGGGAGAGTTTTGGCACTCTAATGACAATGTAGTCCACTGCACTCCTTAGAATATCCTATCCTCGCCCTAGACCTCTTTTCCTGAAACAGCAAAAAGAATTAAAAGTAACCACACAGTCAATGCTCGTAGTTGGTAAAGAGAGAGAGAGAGAGAGAAGATTGTTGGAGATCTTTGAAAATTGGAATGTGAGGAACATTTTTAGTGATAGCATTGGCGAGAGATGTTAGCCATAATGGAATTTCCATCAGCAGCAAAGATGAATTTAATATTAGAGCCATCCTTCTATCTAGGTGTCAAAAATATGTGTCGAGTGGATCATGTAATCAGTTCCAACTGAATCTCTGATTTGTACTTCAGGTCTGTATGTTCAGTCTTAATTAGACGCTGAAAGTGAGACCCTTTTGCGAGTTGATTTTTGGAGGGGAGGGTTTTGGAGTGTTATATCTACTTCCATTTCCTCTGGTTTGCTAGGTTTGTAGCAACAGGTCCAAAAAGTGTCAATAGTTTTGGGTTTTTTCTTTGGACCATTGCCTGTTCTTTTTCTTTTTCAGTATTGAATTTTAGAGACCAGGACGAGACATTCTCTAGGACCATTGTATGTGGTCTTTCTCCTCTTCAGATAACTGAACTGGTTCCATTTAGGTTTGACTGTAAATCGCTTCCAAGTATCTGAACACAAACTTCATCTAACAGCACATTAGATCCTAAGAGTTTCAAAACTTATCTTTTCCCCTCTAGTGAAAATGGGTTTGATCGGCTTCTTTTGATTTCTGTTTCAGATTATGGTACGAGTTCATCTCCTTACATAATTCTAGTTGATTTGTTTGTTATGAACATTCAATGCCTTACCTTTTAGATTATAGTTTTGAGGTTTCAAAAAATATTTCAGAATGCTTCCCAATGATGTCTCAAGTAACATCAAATTCTGAGATACCTCAATCTTGACTAAATGATGTTCAGATTTCAGAACCACATGGTGATAATATATCTTTAATATCACACATTTTATGTACACATAACAGATACTCTTCAATAACTAAAGATAATTGATAGCTACAACTTAGGTGACAGATTCCTACCTAATCGATGACAGATAACAAATATATAAAAGGAAAGAATGCACACTATTGAGGAAACAAATCGAAAATAAATATAAACAGTATATTTTTCCAATCAGAGAAGATTGTTGAGATATTTTGAATATTCTGTTATAACAGGATAGACATGGAGCGGATTTGAATTTGATCGATATCTATCCAATTATTTACAACATAATATTTGAAATATCTCATTAAGATACTGTGATAAGATTGGTTGTGATTGAGTAAGGTATAATGTGACTTAATGTTGATTGTGCCCTATGTTTTTGAGGAGGAATGGAGGAAATGATCTACACTGAATTGAAAGGGGAAGGTAGGATGGTAAAGGAGATTTTGAATTTCCAGTTTGATAGTTTGATGTGACTTAGTGTTGATTGAATCCTATATTTTTGAGGAGGAGGAAGGGGAAGAAGTGATTTACTTCAAAGTGAAGGGGTATGGAAGGATTGTGAAAGAGGTTTTGAAATTTGAATTTCCATTTATTGGATGAATGTTCATGGTTGAATTTTTTATTTTATTTTTAAACTAATTGCGTTTATATTCAAGACTTTTATAATTGTTTTGCAATGTTGCATTTAGTTAGTTGTTTACCCATGTACACGCTTAAATTTATTCTGCTTGCAAGTTTTCTTAGTTTGAAATGGCATCTCCTGCAGTGCTTTCTGCAATCCTGCTGATATTGAGGCATTCACTGAAGAGAAGAAACAGTCTCTTGCCAAACGTCAAGGAAGGGGTGCTGATTTTGTTCGCGCATTAGATGAGATTATTGAATGTTATGATAAGTTAGACAGAGGGACTCAAGTTGATGAAACTAGCTCTGGTGGTGAAGTTGCTAATGCAAATGTGGGAAATCCACTTGACCCATCTTCCAACTCAGGGTTCAAAGATCAGTTGAATTCTCCCTGGACAGTTAATTCACAAATGAAATTATCAAATTCTATGACTGGCAGACCTGAGCAAGTTTATGCAGCTGAGGACGATCCATTTGGTGTACCGAGGAATGAAACTTATCTTAAAGAGGCTACAGGTGACGCTGTTGCAACTGGAACTGTAAAATCCTTTTTGCCAGTGAAGCAAGAAAATGAACCAGTTCAAAGGTCCAGAAGCTCATCAAAGGTCCAAAACACTGTTCTACATCGTAGTGATGGTCGAAATAATGGTGGCAATAATGATGGCAACATATCAGCTGATACAATTCAGAACAAATTTATTAGAAGAAGGACTAGGCATATCAAGAAATCACCTGATCTTTTTGGCTGCCATGATACTGATTCATCTGCGTTTGCCTCAAATGTTAGCATGGTGGAAAATGGTTCTGATGGCTGTAGCTTAAATGTGGGAAGTGCCAAAAATTCTGATTTAAAACTTGAACAATCTGAGATTATTGAGGGCTCTAAATATAAAGTTGAGTTAAAGAAAGTCTTTGGTCGTGACATGAAGGCTGCAATTGGCAAGAAGAAAAGAAAACCAAACAGGACAAGGAAAACCGACAATGCTTGTGTTCAGAATGCCAATCAAAGTTTGCAGAATACGTCTGAAAATCCCAAAGAAATTTGCTCTTACCAAGATGGAGATGAACACTTACCCCCGTCGAAGCGAGCCAGAGTTAGAATGATTAGCTCATCATCCACAGGGGAAGAACACAAAAGAATTGCACGAGTACAGGAGAAAAGTATTGTTGTTGTTGCTTCACCATTGCGGATAATCACATCACCAAATTGTGAAAATGGCTGCCTTGCTGATGGAGACTCATCGCCGTGGAATAGGGCTTTGGGTAGTGTTTCTCCTAAGTTATTAACTTCCTGTTCCGAAAATGGGTCACAGACTTCTGAAGTTAAGAAAGACCAATTACTTGGCTTCTCTATGGATGATGAATCTGCTTTACCTCCATCTAAACGCATCCAACGTGCATTAAAAGCAATGTCTGCCTATGCTGCTGAAGGAGCTTGTATTGAATCACCACCCTCTAAAATGCCTTCAAGTGGTAGATGCTGTATATCTGCTGCAATCAAGAGATGTTCTTGTATGATTATTGACAACCAAGGAGGTAATGATTTAGAAACGAAAGGCTTGGACTCTTGTGGCATTGATTGTTCCAATAACCGAGTGTCTAGTTTTTCAACCTGTTCAAATCCAATGATTTTAATAGAGGACAAGTCATCTATTGAAGAGGATGAACAGTTGACCAAGTCACAAAAACATGAGTCTGGCAAGGATATCATCCCAGTCCCAGGTGATAGGCTCCAATTTGGTGAAGATCTTATTGATTCTGTTGTCTGTGCAGCTGCTAAAATAGATTCACAAGTTGTATTGCATGAAGAAATCTCTCCTGATGTTGATATGAAATGTTGTCAAGTTGGAAGCAATCAAGATTCACCAGGTCCATCATTACCACCAAGTGCGAATGAAAGTATCAGACATGTGATCCATTCAAATGCATCTGATACATTTCATCACGGTGGAATAAATCTTGATCCTGTGGCGGGTCCGAATAAAAGTGGCAATTCGTTACCTCAAAATAGTATCGCCGTGCCTCAGAATATGGTGATGGTTTGTGAGGATATGAAGCAAACATCTGGCGACAGCAGTAAAATCAATGACAAGTAAGCTTACTTTTTTGCCTGTTACAAATACTAGTTTCCAACCATTATAACCTAGAATTAAAATAGAAAGGATAATGAGAATAAGCCATTTTTACTGCCTGCTTATCTATTTGCTTACTCTTTGTGTGTGAAAATTTACTTTTGTTTTCTTATTAATTTTCATAGAGGAAACTTTTCTAGAGAAGCTAAAACTTTTAGTTCATGAGTGAAGTTCTAAATAAGCGATTTTCAGTCTAATCCAAAGGCTTAGATTTTTGTGTTTCAAAAATTGTTCTTCAAATGTGCATAAATGTGACAGGGTATACTTATGCTTACAGCTTTCCTGATTGAAATCATACTTCTGCAAATATTTGTTTTTTCCAGCTTAAACTCTGATAGGAACAAGTTTTGATTAAGAAAAACAGAAATAACAACTCCTGACTAAACTGTGATTCATGATATGCTCATCTGTGTTGTCAAATAGAGGCATTACAGCATAGCGGAATTCAGAGTAATAAATATTCTCTGCGATTGACAACATTGGTTTGGTGGAATTTTATAGTATAAAATTATACTGGACAATCTTTAAAAGATAATGTAAATGACAAGAGTATAATTGTTTAATGAAAGTAATCAATGTTTTATTTCTTTCAATTCAAGAAAGTTCACATTTCTTCTTTTGGTTCAGGCACGAGGTTGTGAAAGAAGTAAAATTTAAAAAACAGGAGGATGATATGATTTCTCTATCAATATCCGATGGTTCAAGGGAAAACGGTGTTTTGGGCATTCGAGCAAGCTCATCCTTGACTGACGGGGGAGTTTTCCTTCCACAAGGTTCACCTCCAAATACCTCAGTTCGCAATGTTTCTACATCAGACAGTAGTAATATTCATCAAAATGGAAGCTGTAGCCCTGATGGACTCCAGAAGAGTATTTTATCCGGTTCTGTTGATGGATGGAAAGTTGGGGCTGTGGCAAATCAACAATCAAGATCTATAGACAAATCAACTGAAGCAGGACACGCAGCTTTGTTATATTTTGAAGCAGTGCTTGTGACCTTGAAAAGGACAAAGGAAAGTATTGGTCGTGCAACACGCATTGCTATTGATTGTGCAAAGTTTGGCATTGCAACAAAGGTAATATGATGGTCCTTTTTTAATCCTTATTTTCTCCCCCCTCCATCTCTATAAAATGTTAATTACTATATTATATTGTGAATGCTTTTCAATTTAAAGTTTACCTTTTAAGTTTGCTGGGATTTCTTGATTTTTACAAATTTACATTGATCTGTGACCTCTCCGGGTGTGGACACCTTTTCTACTTGATTGTTTATTGGACATAGAGTGTGCAATCTAAATTTACCCGGAGCAGTTTATGTTACTGAATCCTACATTAGATGTGATATGATATGATCTGAGAAAGTGGTTATTACTGGGAGACATCCTTAACCTACATTAGAGGTGATATGATCTAAAGAAGTGTTTATTACTGAGAGGCATCCTTAACCTACATTAGATGTGAATGATCTAACAAAGTGTTTGTTACTGAGGCATCCCTAACTGTACAAGCCGGATTTGCAAGGTTGAGTTAGGTCAGATACAAATTTTAAGATGATAGTAGAGCTTCTCAACATCCGTTGGGCTACCGCCTTTAGGTCACTTAGAGATGTCTAGTCCTATGCGCGAGGAGATTGTGTTGATAGTCCCATATTAGATGTGATATGTCATGAACAAATGTTCATAAATGGGAGACATCTCTCACCTTGCAAATCAGATTTGTAGGATTGAGTTAAGGCTCAACCCAAATTTTGTGTCACCAGTAAAGAGAAATTCCAACTAGATAAAGAGAAATATATATATTTTTTGGGTAATCATAATTTTCCAAGTTTTCTGTTTATGGTTGAACACTTGTTGGAAGTAAAAGTATGGCTTCATCTATTACGATGAGACGGGACAGCTTTGATCCCATTTACCCTTGTTCTCCAAGATGAGCACTGTTTTATTTTCCCTTTTTATATTCTTTAAGTATAGGGTGTAAATAGAATATGATAGGAAATTATTCAAGTTGTGTGTTTGAGTGGGACCGTGGTCCCAAGTCCCATTATTTAAAGTGTGTTAGGAAGAGAGGGTAGCTGAGGTGTACGGGTGCTGGGTTTAAATACAATTAAAGAGGTTACAGGGGGAGTTTGTATGTGAACTGTTAATATAGTTGTGAGGAGGGATTTTTCCTTTGGTTGTGTGGAGGGAGTTTGCGGAGGAGTTTTCTTTAGAAGGGGAGCAAAAGGTTTTGACATGAAGGCCAACAAAATTGGTGGCAAGTACACTAGCCCATTTGTTTGGCCGAGTATGTGTAGTTGAGGATAGAGGGTTCAGCTCTTTCAAAATCATACAACTCAATGAATAGGTCGATGACTATGCTTTTGAAATCTCTAATATCAAACTCACATAATCAAAGTTATATCTTATATGGTCTGAGATACAATGGGATGTTTTAGTTACATTGTGAAAACTGGTTTTATCAATTTTTTGCCTTGCTTGAGAATTAAAACTAATTTCCCATACTGTTATTAAATGAAGAAAGCCCCTTTGTAAATTTTCCATACAATTATTAAATGAAGAAAGCCCCTATATTTTTTTGTAGCTTTCTCTAAATTATATATTCTTTTACTATAACTAAAAGAGAGGAAAATATTGTCACTACCTATAAATCACTTACACTTGTATGGAGCTCATGTGCAAAGTATTATTGTTATTTCATATATTAGAGTTTAGTTCAGTTTTTTTTTAGTGGAAAATAGGGATTCAAATCAGCACGGCAAAATATTGAACTTAGAAGCATCCAGAAACTTCCTGTCCAACTAAAAAACCCACTCATATATTACTTGCGCTGGATTTAAAATCACTGGTGCCTCTTCAAGTGTAGAGAAATGCACTAAGATCAATAATGTAGCTTTAGGCATTCTTGTAGAAGTGCAAATAAAGTAGTGATATTCACAGTGTATCAGTACTTCTTCTAGAAGGCAAAATTCAGGAAGTCTTCTACCTCGGCTGTCAGTTTTTAAGAGGGAGTAAGTTTATGGGAGGTTATTTGCGGATATAATATGGGCGAGGGTTTTGTTCATTTTTTATTAAGCTGTTTGGCCTGAGAACGTTCATCTTCTAGTAGGGAGAGCATCTCTCTAGAACTTTGTACCCCATCTTACACACAATTCAGTAATACACTTTGTACTTAAGAAGTTTGCTCAAATGTGTTTTGATTTAAATCTTCAAGATTTTGATGGGAGTTAAACCATCTAATTTACATTATGGTCTGATCTCCTAAATCTTTTCGTTCCTTTTTTAAAAGCTTATCATGTATTTTCTTGACATTTTTGGGGGGTTTGGCTGTGGAGATGTATCTAGGTGGTGGAAAGTCTTGTCCACAGTCTAGAAAATGAGCCAAGCCTTCGTCGGAGAGTGGATCTGTTTTTCCTTGTTGACTCTATTGCTCAACATTCTCGAGGTTTGAAAGGTAATTGTTTATCTTTTAGTTATTCTTGAATATTTCTAACAAAACAAAACGAAAGAACACATGCATGGGTATCTGTTGGTGTTGAAAACAACATCAGAATATATGAATTTAGTATATGTTGATGTTTGAAAATCTGATTTCGCAGACGATGTTGGTGGAGTATATCCAGCTGCTATGCAAGCAGTCTTGCCACGGCTTTTGTCTGCTGTTTCCCCTCTTGGAAATACTGCACCTGAAAATCGTAGGCAGTGTCTTAAGGCAAGTTGACGAAATTTTCTGTTTAGTTAAAGTTAAACACATGCTCTTTAGTCTTACACCTCTTTTTTTGGTCATTATTCTTGTTAACCTTTGCTCTATAATTTTTTGTAGGTGTTAAGGCTGTGGTTGGAGAGAAGAATCCTCCCAGAATCCATTATTCGCCATCATATCAGGGAACTAAACTCATATAGCAGGCCAGCTTTTGCAGATGTTTACTCACGCCGTTCATTGAGAACAGAAAGGTCTTTAGATGACCCTATTAGAGATATGGAGGGTATGCATGTTGATGAATATGGAAGGTTCGAACTTGTTGGCATTAAAAGTTTGTCTTAATTATTCTCTTGTACTCTGTCGGTGTATGTACTTAAATCGCCTTTGGTTCTGCAGCAACTCGAGTTTTCAGTTATCTGGATTTCGCATGCCCTGTATGCTTGAAGAAGGAGGGAGTGATTCTGATGGAGGGAACTTCGAGGCTACTGCGCCTGGGCATGATTCTGAAACATATGAAGTACAAGAAGTGTCTCATGCATTTGAAAAACATAGGCATGTGTTGGAAGATGTTGACGGCGAGCTTGAAATGGAAGATGTGGCACCCTCTTTTGGTGTGGAATTGAATTCGATTTGTAATGTTGATGGAAGAACTGCATCACAGCTTGATCAGAAACCTCATCTGTCCTTTGCTCCTCGTTTAACTCAAGATGTGCCATCATCTTCCCCAGCTCCACCATCATTCGCTCCACCACCACCACCACTATCTCCTCCACCTCCACCTCCGCCGCCCCCACCAACACTGCATCTCATGTCAGCTACATCTGATCAATATGGCACTGCAGTTGATTCCAAACCTTTTACAGATTCACAGGTATGTTTCACAACTTTTCTTGGATCTTTCACTCAAGTGAGTCAGTGGTAGCAACAATAAAGTTTTTTTAACTTGGGGGTCGGGCCCGTATTTACAGGCAGTGCATGGCAAAACATTTCCTTCTGCGGCTCATCCCTTAGATGCACCAAGAAATAGTCGACCTATGGATGCATCGCAGTTTCAAATCCCAGAGTGTAGAGACGTGCAAATGCAGATACCAGAGTCTCCTTGTTCTTTCAACAGTCACCCTGTACGACCACCAGAAAATTCCAGGAGTGCTGACGGTTTTCCTATGCATAATAAAGATTACATACTACGACCACCACACCGTGTGCCATCGGATCAGTTTTCTTTCATTCATGCGGAAAATCGTCCAAGGCCTCAGAGGGAGGTTCCACCACCCCCTTCATACTCCAATAGACAACACTTTGTGCAGAACACAAGGAGGGAGAACTTCTATAACACTCACGAGAGAGATGGAATGAGATACAATACTCGTGCACTGCATGAACAGAGATGGAACACTCGGACAGCACGTGAAGAGAGGTGGAATACTCGGGCATCACGTGAAGAGAGGTGGAATACTCGGATACCACATGAAGAGAGATGGGGTTTTCGGACACCATATGAAGAGAGATGGAATACTCGGTCGCCATATTCTGGTAATTTTTTTAAAAAAGTATTCTGGAAAAATTATGATAATTGATGATCCATATGATATTTGGGGGGAAGGGGTGGTGGCAATGCCATGGTTTTGTTTTGGTTGTTGGTGAATGTATAACAATTATCTTTCTTTGAATTTCTTGTATGTTTCTTGCTATCACAACAAAGATTTGCCTTCCCCTTATGATTGCCATCCAAGTGCATCGACTAGATCACAAGGTCATGGTTGGAGATTACCTCACCTGCCAATGAATTACAGAGGCTCCCTGCCTTTTAGATCAGCCTTCCATGATGCAATTCCAGTAGTTAGAGGTATGTACCACCTGCATAACTAATGTTCATAAACATGTGATTTATTTTTATTTGCTTCTTTCCTATGATTTATGTGATATTAATTGAAAATATTAAAGTTTAAGATACTAATGTTTCAGGCCCAGGCTTTTGGCGGCCTAGGAGAACTGAAGTTAACCGACAATGAGGCTGCCAAACTTCTGTCTGTCCGCAACCCTCTTTCGTTATTCTTCAACAATTAGTATTGTTGCTTTCACTCGTTGAATGTTAGGTATGACTCACTTTTTGAAGTGGGTCCTATCTTCACGAGAGGTAGTTTATGTTCCATCTTCCTGTACAGGAAAGAAAGAATCTTTGGACAGTTTGCTGAACTGCCCAGGCGTGGTCATGATATGCTAGATCTGTATATAATTATTGCAGCATCTTCTGCAGGATACACAGCCAGGGAGAGTCATTGTAAAGTGGTTGGAAAGCTGTAACATCATGTATCCAAATTTTTGTCGCCAACTATATGATTTATTTCATGAAAGCCCTTATAGGTGTTAGACCGGAATTCATAAAAAAAATATCGGGGCTGATTTTTTAGACATTTTTCTCTTCGTTTATGGAAAATCTCTCCCCAGAGGGTTGAGAATTCCTCTTTTCAATTGTTTGCTTTTATTTCTTTAGTTATCCTTGACAAATTTTAATCGACATTAGTTTTGGTGAATAAAAACATTCTAGTGCAATGGATGATATATTTTTCGGAATATTTCCAATTCTTCGGTACATATTTATACGATAGTATTAATATAGCGCTGCCTAAATATTTGGTAGTCTAAAACAGGGTGTTTACAAGATCTGGAATGACAAATTAGTTTTGGACCATCTTTGATGTTGGTTATTATGTGTGTTCTTGGTTAGACCATCTTTCATGTTGGTTATCATGTGTGTTCTTGGTTAGACCATCTTTCAAGTTGGTTATTAGGCGTGTTCTTAGTTACACCATCTAGTTAATTGGACGCTCTAATCCACTTTACCATCATTGGACAGAATTGGATACCATGAGTAATAATGGTTATATAAGAATTAGTTCTTAAATTTCAGGGTCAGTTTTAGGTTACCGTTTTAATATAGTGAGCATTTGTCGGTTGCCAAATATCCTGCCTGGTTCGAAAAACAAGGATACTTCTCTATGCCAACTAGGTTGGCACCTCACTTAGCTCTAAGAAAGTAGTTACAGGTTTTGTTTTTCGAACCCCCACCCCCATTGAAGTCTCATCACCTTTTGTTTTTCTAACCCCCACCCCATTGAAGTCTCATCACCAGTCGTAAACCCCCATCCCATTGAAGTCTCATCACTAGTCGTCAACAATGCTTGTTGAATAGTGGTTTGTTGAAGTTACTAAAACCTCAAATTAAAATCTATCCTTCCTATTTTTAGGGCTTTTGTTTTTCAAACCCCCCAGCCAACTGAAGTTTCATCACCAATTAGGGGTTATGAACAATGTTTTTGGAAGATTTTTTGTTTTTCAAATCCTCCACCCCACTATAAAGTCTCATCACCAATTAGGGGTTGTCAACAATGCTTTTTGAAGAGTGCTTTATTAAAGTCACTAAAACCTCTGGTTAAAATCTATCTTCCCTTGCCTTTTTTAAGATCTTTCTTGAAGTCACTAAACCTCTAATTAAAATCCACCATCCATTGTCTTTTTCAGGTCTTTGTTTTTCAAACTCTCATCCCACTGAAGTCTCATCAACACTTAGGAGTTGTTAAGAATGCTTTTTGAAGAGTGTTTTACTGAAATCTAAAGCCTTTAATTAAAAACTATCTCCCTTCCTTTTTTGGGCTTTTGTTTTTCAATCCTCCACCCCACCGAAGTTTCATCACAAATTAGGAGTTGTGAATGATGCTTTTTAAGATTGTTTTGTTGAAGTCATTAAAGTCTCTAATTAAAATCCATCTTCCTTTTTCCTTTTAGGGATTTGTTTGCTCTTTGAAGAGTGTTTTGTTGAAGTCACTAAAGTCTCTAATTAAAATTCATCTCTCCTTTCTTTTTAGGGCTTTTACTTTATAAATCCTCCATCAAAGTCTCATTATAAGTTAGGAGTCGACAACAATGTTTTTTGCAAAATTGTTGAAGTCACTAAAGCCACTAATTAAAATCTATCTTCCCTTCTTTTTTTTTTTGGGCCTTTGTTTTTAAAATTCTCCACCCCATTTTCATCCTTAGTGAGGAGTCGTCAATAATATTTTTTGAGTGTTTTGTTGAAGTTACTAAAACTTCTAATTAAAATCCATCCCCCCTTCCTTTTTAGGGCAAGTTTGTTTCTGTATTTAAATTTTTTTAATAGTTTACATATTTTTGTTGAAATTAAAAAAAAAAAAAAGATTCAAATGAAAAATTAATTGGAATAGTTTTTTTATTTAAAAATGTTACTTAGGTATTTCTTCTTTTTAATATAATTTTTTTAATTAAAAAATCACTTAAATTTGAAACTGTTTTGGATAATTTTACATAAAATTTATTTTTTAGATATATATTTTTGAAATATTATATGATTTTGATTATATTTAAAATTTTAATAATATATTATGTTATTGGAGGTTAGAATTAGTCTTTTATAATACTTTTAAAAATACAAAGGAAAAAATATATATTTTTAAAGATATAACAAATGGATCCTTAATATTAGACAATTTTGCACAACTCATCTAACGCACTTTTCGATTTTCATATCAAAATTTTGTCATTAGAGTCTAAATCTCCATACAATATCTTTATGGTAATGTGTAACAACTTTTTATGTAGTTTGAAATGGTTTGCACAACAACTTTTATTATCACTTTCTTGGATCTTCTTCACAAGCATTTTACATTCCATCTATCAACTTTTTCTAGACTTGTTAACGACAAGTTCTCAAATATTACAAAGATGATCCATAAATTTAGATATTTTGAGTAGGCATTCATAATCTTTGTTTTAATCTTTGATTCCTATGCACTTTTCAATTTTTTTTGAAGAACTTGCCTTGTTCTTGCTAGATACAATCTTTCATTAATATAATTAAATTTCCTATTCTAGTTTCTTCTGTGATCCCTCATCATTGACGTCTCTAATAACCATATTACAACCTATTCAACCATAATTAGATTTGAATTTCTATGTTTCACTAAGTGATGGATCTAATTTTGTATCTGTCAACGCAAAAATTTGATAAATTTTATCATACTGAATGGAAAAAAATCATCACTTAGAGGTAAAAAAACAAACTCTTCATCATTGATGGATCGATACCAATCACAAACTATGATGATCTCAATTGTTCATTATGGGATAGGTGCAATAATGTGGTAGATTCTTGACTTATTAATTGTCTTTGTGATTCAACAAGAAATTTCATACTTCAAGATCAAGTTATCCAATTGTTAATTCGTTTGAATGATCAATTAATTGTATTTAAGACACAAGTTCTGTTAATGGAGTCTTTACCTTCCATTAACAATATATATATATATATATATATATATATATATATATATATATATATATATATATATATATATATATATATATATATATATATATATATATATATATATATATATATATATATATATATATATATATATATATATATATATTTCTTAGTTGCTAAAAAAAAAATTAAATATTTATCCATGTCAATATTTTTGACGAGTCAATCTTATTTATCTAATGCTTATAATGCAAAAAGGTGGCAGAGGTTCAAATTTTGGAGGTCTTGGTAAGACCTTTTTAGATATTACACACACTGCAATAAACGTGGACACACCATTGAATTTTAGTACCAAAAGCATGGCCATCCACATGTGAATAAGCCTACTTCATATTCTAATGCATCTAACAAAACTCTTCGTGACATGACTCAAATGGAGTTTTTAACATGCACAATTCCACAAATCATGTATCTACTTTATCTTTGGAAAAATATTATCAACTTGTGTGTTTATTGTAGATCTATGTGCTTACAGGTAAATTCAATTGCACACAATCTTTGTAGCAGATGATTATTGGTGGTTTTGATACTGACAACACCTAATATCAAGTGGCTTTCAGTGGAGTCATTGAAGATCTTTGGTCAAACAACCTCTAATTATGATGTCCATAAAAAAAAAGTCATATCAAACATCATCAGATATAAGAAGTCAAGTCCCCACATAAAGGGATGAATTCATAATGAATCTAGAAAGAGATCTTCAAGCTTTAAGATTTTAAAAGAGAGGAAGCGCAAAAGCTTGTCTTGGTGACCCGTGTATTGTAAATGTATAAGAATAACTCATGAGATACTAAGATAAATCTCTCTCTCTCTCTCTCTCTCTCTCTCTCTCTCTCTCTCTCTCTCTCTCTCTCTCACTCACACACACACACACACACACACACACACACACACACACACACACACACACATAAACAGACGCACTTGAAAATAATTTAAACCTTTTTTGTTGTTGCAACACCTTCAACTATCTTAAAAACCTATCAATATTTGTGGTTGATTGATTAAAAAGTATTTCTAATCAATTGGGCAAGTTTTTACACCATCTAATCAATTAGAGCAAGGAAAATAACTTCATAATATATTAGAAACACTCATAATCAATTAAGACACCGGTTGGTAGAGGTTTTCCTTTTTGGGAATTAGAGTTGATGCATTTTGGAGCTTATAATGGATTAGCCATATGGCATAATTGATTAAGACATTTAATTTGACCTTGTATCGTTTCTTTTTTTAGTAAAATAATTTCCTATATAAAAGAGATTTATCCTCTTTTAAAATCACATAAGAGTTCAGATTTATACTATTCTTTTGTTACTTCTATATTCTTTTTCTTTTATATTCACAGACTAAAAGTCACCTTAGTGCCTTATGAGTAAAAAATACTTCTGAGAGATGTTCATGTTGAATTATTTTCTCATCAAGAGTGTTATACTCTTGTGTTGATATCTTTGGTTCTTAAAAATTTTCGTGTAAAATCTCTATTTAGTTATTGAGATTAGCTGATAAAATCTCTATTGGGTTAATAAGCTCATCCGTCAAAATCTTCGTTTGGTTTAGGGGACCATCTTGTATAAAATCTCTCGTCTTTGTAATAAGGTTTGTGGACATATCCATAAAATCTTAAAATATTTTATAGTGGAACTCTCAAGAACAAATTACTGGAGA